AGGTCCCTCAAAGCCATGACTATAACATCTATTTTTAAGAGCATTCTTCTACTCTGCGTTCTTTCCGTTGGTCTGGCACGAAGGTATGGGCTGCTTTATTGTCCTATATCCTTCCAGGGGATGAAACAGAATTATTGATGTTAATTTCCTGTGTTGATCTGTGGCGGGACAAGTAAGCGCACCCTCATCTGGAAAGATCAAAGGCAGGGGCTGTCACTCTTAAACCACGGACATGGCGTAGAGAACCCTCCAAGCCAGATCTGATCCATGGCTTTCTAAACTCTCCACTACAACAAGAGGAAGTGTGAGAGATCACTCATCCCGGAGATTGATCGCAGGGAACACAGCTCTTGACGTGATTGGAAACACATGGAAGTTGAAGTTCTATATTCTGACCACCTTTCTCCATCCCTTTCTTTCACTCTGTCCTCCCAGTCGTTCTTTTTTCCACCTTCCTTTGCAAAAGAAGTGCTTAACCTTTTTTTGCGAGAGATCTAGGGTGAGATTTGCTTTGAGCATCTGGGGTGAGTAATGGTAGAGGAAGCCAATCAATACCTCTTTGCTTGATGATGGCCATTCAGGGTGTAATTGCGTCGGGTGCCTTTTCCTCCAATGGAACATAACTGCTCCTTTCATCTATTCACCTTTTAGTAGACTCCACCATTTTTGGCTTTGTCTAACCTCTAATGGCTCTCAGACCCGTTTTGTCTTCTGACGGGTGCTTGAGTGCTTCAGATGACGGATGTATTAAACTAAGGACATGCATATATGACCTTCTAGCTCCAAAAAGACGACCTTACGGTCTGAGGCTACTGACGGTTTGAATTACAGAAGTCGTGCGAGTCAAGGATCTTTGGCCAAAACCCCAAAGGCCGGTTTGTTTTCCCGAGGCGTGAACATGGCCATGTGGTGACATCCCAGATACATCTGCACCAGCTGTCTTCGGCACGACTGCCTGTTCTTTTGATGCCAAACCTCCCACCGCAATAGCACCATCCATGTCGCACGAATACATTATCGGCTTTCATCACGTCAACGATGCTTCATCGCACCTCGTCAACCAAGAATCCTGCTAATTATGTATAGAGACTCTATGGTGTCTCTCCTGAACGCGGTGGAGGACAACTGCACATTAAAATGGATGTCAGAGGCTGGCAATGTTAGCGCACATTAAAAAGGCACTGCTGTTCGGCTCTGGCCATCAGATTTGAACCGTAGAGTTGATCAGAGACAATCTGCTCACGGTATGGAGGAGAGACAGAGGGAGGACAGAAGGGAGGTGATGGAAACACTTGCCTGGATCCGTACAGGGGGTGGCAGGCAGCAGAAGGAAGCAGGGCTGGATGAACAATGGAACAGACTGCCGAGCAGAACCATACACATGGCGCAACAGTAATCTGTCATGTTCATTAGCACTCGCGGTGTACATCGTTAGTAGTATCCACAGAGCACCATAATGGCTCAAATTACACCGTCATCCTCAGCTATAATCACCCCACTTTCCACAGCCATTAAACTGAGCAAAGAAAGCCTGCGAGTCCGCAGAGATTGGAAATAACCCAAAAAAGGCAACAATACATGCTAAAAGAGGGTTCGCTACATTTGGGATTTGTAAAATATATAAAACATTCTCTATATTATCTTAATGGCGATCTGCTTCATAAATCACCAAAAAATGCATTACAGAAATGAAGCACAACAACATGATGAAATTAAATTAGGATAATAGATTCTGATCGTTTCGCAAGACCTTGTTACTCTCAAACTTTTTGATTTAAGAACTCTATTAGGCAGAACCGCATGAGGTACCTGACCTCCATAGATCTAATGGTTCTTCCATTATGTCTTGTTGAGTAGTTACACTGTGTCTACATCTAAACCCAACAAATTTACAGACTAACTAATCATCGGCCCATATGGAACTATTAACCGCTACAGATGCAAAACCATCTGCGGCCATAAAGTTTCTGCCTGCCTGTCCTTTAAACGTGAAAAATTTGGGGTTTGTTTAATATAAAACAGATTAATGCTTATTCTGAATTAAAATATACATCATTTTCAGTGATAAACCAGTTTAATAACCAAAACAGAGTTCAGATATGGATTGAGATTCTACTCTTATTCACATATCTTGGCCATTAGGACACCGTGAGGTCGTGTGCTCAGTACAGTGTCTCTTTGTTTATACAGTAGAATAATGAAAATACTTCAGACGTCTGTGGTGCTAGACAACTCTTTCATTTAGTCAACTAAAGAGGGTTTGACCGGCACCATCCAGGCTGCAAGTACAAATTCTCTGAGCTAGCATAGACAACTGACCTCATATACACATAACATAACAGGAAATGACAGGTGCTTGCATGTTTCTGATTACTTGAGGAGCATTATGGGAATATTCAACCTCAAAGAGCTTTCAACCTCCTGTTGCAAATGAGTTGTTGAGAAGATGGACTTCAGAGAATTTCTCACTTGGAAAGGTGCAAATTAGCCTGTGACTACAGTTAGAGATGAGATGGGGGAAAAAAAACACTGGCACAGAGATTTTCAGAAGAACTTTTCTGCTCATGATGTCCATGGAGTCAATATTGATGCTGTAAATCAAACCAAAAAAAGCTACTTCATGTCAAAATACTTTGACTTGACATTTACTGAAAAATTGGACTCTGCAACCGTTTGTATCTTAGAGGAAAGTTTCTTTGGAAACCATGATGCAACTTTATTTCTCTGATGAATATAAAGTTCAAAAGAACACCATTTATTTGAAATAGAAATCTTTTGTAATGTCAATAATGGTATTGCAGTCACATTTGACCAATCTAAGGGCGTGTTCACACTTGGCATCTTTTCTGACAAGTAAAATAAAATCTGGTCGCGTTTTGGTTACAAATAGCAGCCAAGGGCGTCTTTTGTTGCTATAAAACAGCTGCAACAGTAGCCTAGTGCTGTGTGGTGCACAGGCGAATGTTGGTTCACAACGACGTTTGTTGGTGCACAGCATTATACGAGGAAGGAAACAGTATGGTGCTTACAACAATTCAGTCCAGGAGCTCCGGTTGGATGATGCATCCATTTTTTCTTGTTGTTCCTGTTGTTATAGAAACGACAGGTTTCACTATTCGCTTGTCATTGGTCAGCTGTCAAAAAGGCGCTTGACATAGGGCGTTTTTTTTTTTCAGAAAAGTTGAACTTTTTTCAACTTGAAAAGACGCTCTGAGCTGCAGAAAAGACACCGGCAGTAGCGTTTAAAAAAGCGCTCAGGACATTTTTAAAAACACGGTTTACTCCATAGGATTATATAGTAAAACAGACACTGCCAGCTTAAAAAAAGATGCCAAGTGTGAACATAGCCTAATGTGTGCTTGCTGAATAATAATAATAATTAAAAAAAAATAATTCTTACTGACCCCAAACTTTTTCATAACTATACAATAGTGTATTTACGCTGAAATCAACAGATCTGAATGAAATACTGATCAATGGATCAGCTAGGATGGCAATTGTATTGCATGAATTAATGACATGTCATTAAATGTAATCAATGATAAATGTGAACTCTTATTCAAAAGAGCAGAAAGAGAGGAAAATCCTATTTTTCATGATACGTCCCCTACACACACACACACGCAAAATCAGAACAGTCTGCATCCTGTAAACACAGACAAATTGGGTCAGAATAAGAATCGCTTGTCACCAGCCAGTAAACACAAAATAAACAGTATATTCTATACTGCACACACATGCTGCATATGATTACTAAACGACTTCCAGAAAGAAAAGAAAAGCACTGTTCCTACAGCTCCTATTTAGCTGTTCCCATTCATTTCCGCTCAAATCTACCATATTCTCGTACTGATTGTTACCTTTCAGAGCCTGGTCTAAGCAAGCCTGCCACATCTTCACTCTTTAATGTAATCAAAGGCAGGAACAGGCCTGTATTGAAAAAAAAGGATAGGTCGGAACAAGAGCCTTAGCACAGAGGTGCTACAGATGAAGAAGAAAAGACCCATTCAGCGGTGGGACACATAGACCCAATCACATATTCATGCCATTTTCCATTCATCCAATCATCTTAATCAGAACATTGCATCTTGGGAATCAAAGGGGAGATGATTGAACTTCCATTAAAGAGGCCTTTTAGTGATTCATATGTAGATGGAGGGGAGAACAGCGGCGGCCAGTTAGCTACTGTATACCTCCACTCGAACCGCACGCATGAACCTCCCCGTGATACCGTTACCATGGTGAACCGAAGACTGAGACGACCATACCCTTTCACAGAAATAAACCTATCTCCAGATCACAGCGCTTGTAAAGGTGAGCTGGGCGCCGGTGTGGGCAGCTGTCACCACTGATGACTGACATGAGCCATTTTATACTCTTAGTAGAGTCAAACTGGTTTAGGAGAGGGAGGCTGGTCCTTGATCTAAATCGTAGACACCCTACATCTGATAAAGAAAGTGTTTCTCACATTTAAAGGTTTTTGGACACTTAAGCGACACTTAAAATGTCATTTCATTAATTAAAAAAAAAAAATAGGCATCTGAAATAAGGCATAAACACGTGAAGTTTAAATCACATTACCTATGGACATCTACCAAATGTTTGACAGATAAAATGTCACACTACTTTTCCTCTTAATTTAAAACCTAACAAATACCATTTTGTGAAATGTTATGCTTGAAATTATTATTTTTTTTAAATAAATGCCAGTTGTTCTGATATTTTGTTTTATAATGAACTGACATTCATACATTTTTAAGTGTGACTAAACTAAAGTGTCCAAATTGTTTTTGGGGCTTCTATATAGACCACCACGTGTCTCTGCTTCTGCCCTGCTGTGCGGGGCGAAGTGATGTCACTTCCTATCCAAAGGCTTTTTGCTGATGAGCATCAGACTTGGTTGCTGACTTGATCAAACATACAAACACACAGCAGGAAAGACATTTGGAAATGTGTTAATTGAGAGAGACGAGGAACAAGGGGGGCCGTCACTCCGTCAGCAGGTCTGTGAGGAAGGGGTGAGGTAAGCTGCACCATCTGTGACTCTGACACTTGTTTCAGAAGCTTTTAGAGGCCATTAGCACACTCACTAAAGGTCACACACCAGTGCTCAAACACACACACACACACACACATTTTCACATATAAATAAACACTGATTTACAAACAGATGCAGATACACAATAAATCAACCTCAGTCGGGCTAAATATGAATATGACAAGAGAAGAGTTAAGGATGCAGCCAGCATGTACCTGTCAACCTCACTGAGCATCATCATGGTGTAACAGTGCCTTTGAAAGACAACAGTGAAACATGAATATGACTCAACTGTGCTGCAGACTGTGACGAAAACGCTAAAAAATGTGACAATAAATAGATAAATAAATAAAAATGTGTGACTATTTAAAATAAAGGCAGGGAAATGAAAGATTAGTAAGGAATTGTTAGTAGTTACATCTCGGGATATTCACACAATGTTTTTCCTGCTCTATTTTTATCATGCATACTGTAAGTCAACTACACAGTACAGCAAAATGTTTTTGTCACTTCAATATTTAGTGATCAATCTTGTTTTGTACACATGCAGTGATTTAAAGAAGTGGCAACCGCATTCTACAACTAACTACAAATGAATTCACCAAAATTATATGCAGTGTGTACGAAACTACTAGTTAATGACATACTTAAACATGCATCAGGGATGTGTTTGCCAGATCTTGTTAGAAAAAACAGCAAAAAAGAATCCCAAATAAGTCCAAATGCGTTATAATTGGAAAAATACCCACAGAGGTACACTTTATTAACTCCATATAGTGGCTCACTTTATGAGCGAAGCTCAGACAACAAGTCCAAATACGCTTATAATAAGTGGACATGGCAACACTACAGGAGCACGCTTTGTGAAGCAGCCTTCTGAGCATAAAACACAGCACCAACGTCAATAATGGTTTTGTTAATTTGACAGACATAAATCTTTGTTAACTAATATTACTTTAGTCAAGAATAGTGTGGTCTATTGGGTTAAACTGTTTGGAATTATGTTTTTGTTCACAGCCGAGAGACGCCAAAACTTTGCTGTGGTCACCAACATGCCAATTATTTGCGGATCGGGAAAAGCATGCATTTAAATACAGTTGTTGATCTGAAACGTCACAGAGTGTACGTAGAGTTTCTATTGGTCAATGTAAACATGCACTAGGCTTCTTTGACCTTAGCAATGTGCCTCAATTTTCTCGCCATCTTGTGCAAAGAGCACTGTATTTTCAAGACACTTTATCAGGCTTTAACTCAAGACCATTTCATCTATCTGTTTTCAAACGCAAGAACAAGAATACATGTGAACACCCCCTTAAAGTACATAGCAGAGTTTCCTTCATCACTATTTGGCTTCTTTTAGTTGAGTCATCATTGCTAAACGCAACAATGAATGGCACAATCGGTGATGTCAAATTTGTGAATGCATAATCTTATGAGCTGGTGGGTTTGAATACTCTTATGAACCAGTTTGTTTTAATGAATCAGTTGAAGAGATTCACAAATTTGCCTCAAAAGCTCTTTCCATAAATAAATAATTCTTATGAACCAATGTGTTGTAATGAATCAATTGAACAGATTCATGAATCAGTCTCAAAAGTTCTTTCCACAAATCAATAATTATTATGGACCAATTTGTTGTAAAGAATTAGTTGAACAGATTCACAGATCAGTCTCTAAAGTTCTATTCACAGATGACTAACTTTTATGAACTAGTTCATTTTTATGAATCAGTTGAACAGATTCACAAATCAGTCCCTAAAGTTCAAATGAATAACTCTTATGAACAAGCAGGTTTAAATTAATCAATTGAACAGATTCACAAATTGCTTTAATACTATTTCTTTGCTTTGTTTTAAGTCTTATTTGTGTTACCAAAAACTTTTCATAAAGAAAAGGTCCATTTTCATGGCAGCTGTTGTGGAATTCGCTGGAAGGCAAAATGGCCAAGAGATGTGAGGATAAATGAGAGGAGAGAAGCAGAAGAGCGAGAAAGAAAAGAGGACAGCTGGTGACAGAACAGAGGGAGTGGGCCTGCTGCAGTCTCTGTTAATGGCAGTAGCAGGAGAAGTGAACATTTGTTCTCACTCTCTCTGCACTACATAAACATCCGCAGAGAGAGCAACACCATCATTACACACACAGAGGAACTTTTTCTTTTTTTTTCTCTTTCATTTCACCCCTCCAGTCCTTCAGCTATCCATCATCACGTATCCTGCTGAAAAAAAAAATCTTAAAGGTGGTTTGGTGGCTTTAGCTGGTCTAGCCAGGCTGGGAGACCAGCCGACCATCTGTTTGGTTTGAACTGTTGTTTTTTTTTCTTCAACATGGTACAGCATTGCCTTCAAAACTGTTTATCAAACATGGCTGACTTAAAAGATCCTGTTAATCTCTTGCCTTACAAGGTAAAGCTGAAAGCTGCATTCCTCCCTCGCCTCTAATGGGAGACAGTCATATGTCCGGTCACAGTTTTACATGCAAGCCAAGAGGCTTTGAGGAACTGCAATTTTGCTGAATTGCTCCACATTAAGGTTAATTATGTAATATTTCATTTCTGATAAAAAGTAGCCGGGTTGATGAGAAAAGTGAAGTCTGGAAGTGTTCAACACTGTGTAGTTTGACTGAGGGACGTTTGAAGTGTCTGAGAAGAAATGGCTCAGATCTGACTTCAGGACAGAGGAAGATTACTGCATATTATGGGTAAAAATAAAATAAAGCAGACACTTTCAACTCTAAATTTGGAAAAAAAGACACTGTAAAATGTAGGTACATGCTTATTTCTATGTGTAAAATCACTGTAATTCACAGCCTTGTGGCATATTACTGTGTGCGGTTACATTTGCGGCAGTAGGTTTCACAGGACTGTGTGTGTTATCCAGTGTAATATCTGTTGTTAAGTGTGTGTGTTTGTGTGTATCACAGCAGCAGAATGAGGGGCATTTGGCAGTCCACACGGGCCTCCATCTGTCTGCAAGATGTAAAACATCCTAATGGGTCCCATCCTCCACCTGAGGCTATACCTTACCCTCCCATAGAGCTACTCCGTCTCTCTGTCACACACACACAAGCTATAAGGTTCTCCTGTGGTGCTAAATCGTCAGTTTGTCACACAAACACACTATACTAGTAATTTACCACTAAACTTCACAAACACATGTATTTATACACTCTAACAATACTAAACAATGTGCTGTACACACACATAGAACATGGTGAAACACAAAGAGAACTCAACTCACAAGTGATTCCAATGAAGTCTAAACATGTGATACTCTAAGTGAGCATAAACTCACATTGTAGACACAAGCACTTGGTAAAATCATCAAAAGGACCAAAAAGTACAAACCTAATAGCAGAATTCCTCAAATAAAAAATGGTTAACAAGTCAGCATATTTCAAGCTACTGTATCACAGCAACTGTTTACACGTCCGGCTTCTCTTGTATGAAAATTGCTACACATGACAAGCGGAAAAATGGCAAGAAAAGCTTTACATGTAATGGCATGGGACTATGTATTATTTTTAAAATGCAACATTAACATGGCAGTAATTTAAATATAGCTTTCATAAAAAATACAAAACAAAGCATTAATGTTAAAAAAAAAATCATGCTATTGTTAATTTTTTGGTTTTACAGTGCATCAGAAAATGCTAAGAGACAATGCGCTACTTAATAAAGGGTGTGCTAAAACAACAGAATGAGGGAAATAAGAGTGTTATTGTATGACTCAGTAACCTGTTACAAGATTTTGAAAGGAAGGGCTTGATGTAAACATCTGGCCTTTGAATGCTAAGGACTGAGAAACAGTGAGACATAAAACGTTGATTTTCCTCTTTTGTCATATGTTTATCATTGAGCTGCAGGGCCATATCCTGGCTTAATGTCCCAGATTTGCAGCACTGCTCTGACCCATAGACACAGCTACCACCAGATCAACACGGCCACTATCAGCAGAATGGACACTAGCCAGTGACTCCCACTGGGCACTAAATAGTGGCCAATAACACTGAATCTGAGCCAGGCAAAGAACAAAATACCATCCGCACTGGCCAGCTAAAGATTTAACAGGCACATATAACCAGTGTTGGGGAGTAACTAGTTACATGTAACGGCGTTACGTAATTTAATTACAAAATAAATGTAACTGTAATCAGTTACAGTCGACAATTCTCGGTGGCCTGGCAGCCGATTTGGCCCGCTGTTTTAATATTATTATTGTATAATTGCCTGCCGGATGTACTAAAGCGATTATTTCCGAATTCGCCATTCGATAATTAAATCTCTAATAAATCAT